TTGATATTTTTACTTTAAATTCGGTAAAAAAATAAGTACACATGTAATAATATTTTGCAGCCAAATATTTATTTGTATAATCAAACTTAGATTATCTGAAAAGTTTTCTGTTTTCGAAAACAATCGGCGAAATCCGAAACTAACGAAAACCGAGGCAATTATTTTTATATAGATCAATGTAAATCTAATTAATTTGTTCTAGACACTAGACACTAAAATTATTTCTAAGCAACAATGAATAATTTTTTAATATAATAATGAAAGAAAAGAACAAAAATTTCGAGTAAGAAATTGAAAATTCTGCAAAAAAATCTTGAGATTAAAACAATTTAAGAACGAAAGTCTACATATTCTGCAGAATTTTGCACAAGTACTTAATTAAAACATTACAAATTATGATCAGTATTGTTAGAATACACAATTAAGAAAATTGTAAACTGTTATTACAATTTTCACCTGTGTCCGAGCCAGACTCGGGCGAATATCAAATAATAATTAATTCACTTTTTATGCACAGATTTTACTCAGGTAAAATTTATTTGTCCTTTAACGATCGTTGTCTATGACCACAACAAATTTCGTAATTCTATACGAATTATAAGTTTTTGATTGGAGCCGTTTTTCCGGTCCCCTTTTATATAAATAGTACAAATGACCAAAAATTTTTAGTTGTATTTGAGTATTTGTAATAACTAGTACAAACCTTGCTAGAACCCCGACTTTCCCTAAGACCTTTATGTAAATATCCCGCAAAAGTTGACCAACGGCTGTTCTCAAGATCAAACAATTTTAAACACCGTAGACTGCAGCTGTCTCGTTGCAGTTTGTGTAAGACGAAAGAAAAATATAAATAAAGTATCCCTGAAGCTATATGTAATAACTAGATGCATTTATTTTAAATCATTTTTTTATTTTTTTAATAGCTTTACTATAAAAACACGTTTTGGGGAGATTTTTTCGCGGCAAAATTATAATTTTTTCTAATATCAGATTTGGTTTAACTTTCACAAAAATATTTATTATCAAAAAATAAAAAAATATATGCTTTTCTGAGCGAAATTTGAAAAAAACAAGCGTTAAGGAGTTTTAAATGTATTAAATGTTATCCTATTTACAAGGAATAAAAGTAAATTTTAACTTAAAATTAAAAATTATCGAAAAACCCAGATAATGAGATATTTTTGTGAAAAAACCTATCAACCCAGATTACAATAAAAAAATCCAAATATGAGTAGAAAAACTCAGGCGTAAGAGCCCTTCCCACACCATATCGATGACGGCACGATATTTCAAGACACTGGAAAGGCACTTTCTTTGCTTGGTTCATTTCCCGTTGGATGAAATTAGTCAAACGAAATAAAAACCATCAATAAGTTAAGGGATTGCCTATCACTATAACCTATTCAACTATGCCCAAGAACAACTAATGTCAACTGCTTCCAAGAATATACTGTTTTTTCGCCACTAGATATTCGCCACTAGATGGCGCCACTAGACGGTGCCCCCAACTGTCCAAATGTTAATGCCAGTGCTCATCGCTTAGATGCTCAAGCCTAAGCAGCTCATTATAAACCAACCTGTGTAACTTCAGGGGAAAATTTGAAATGTTTATGGAAGAAGCGATATATTTTTTAAACAATTCATAGGAGAAAGATATTTCCGATGGGATATTGTAGAGAGCTTGAAGATTTGAAAAGTGCGTTTATAAATAAATGGTTTCTGGTTTCAAAACACCGGTGTTACTCATTGCAGTGGGAAAGGCA